TTACCACACTAGTTCATATTATACATATGTATATTTATAAGGATATTATGTTTTTGTTTCTACCACTTCACCTTGTCTCTCTACTATCGTGAATCTTTATATATATTATGTGTAAGTACGAATGTCTGTAATATTTTTTAGTATCTTGCACTGCACACTTTCTTTTGTTTCTATTTTATTTTGTTTTGGCTGTTAATCTATAGTGCCTTTCTTTAAGGCTCGAAGGACCATGGAGAAAATGCTGCTTGCAACTARAAGTACAAACCACTTCAACGACTCTTTAATAAAAATGCTCCCTTTAAAATGTACAACCATTTAATATAATTTTTATTAAGTTCTTATAAAAAACATTAATATAAAATKTTTATTAACTTATATTAATTAACRGRCGACGAAGGTAGGTAGATRTACGGAGCGCGGTAGATATACGTTGCATASCGGGCTGCGGACGAAGGAAGTATTTAACTCATTTAAACAWTTGCCAATTTAACTATTCCATTAATTATATTATGGAGGATGGAGTCATTTGTAGTGGTTCACGCTTAAGCTAAAGAAAAAAGGGAAAACATCCTCTCCACAAGGTTCTGCGCTTGGTTTGGGATTCGCCACGTAAAACACAGTAGCAATAAAAATAAACGACAGCCTCGGATGAGAGACTCCCTTTTGATGACGACCATGGAAAACGAAATAAGGACTATGATTTGAAGGCTTGGAACGTCGGCTCCCTTAATTGGGAAAGTGCCGCGGCCTAACTGGTTGATGTCTTCGTTAGAGTGAAGGCCATCCAAGAAATGTCATGGACGGGGCAAGGACTGAGGCGAGTAGGTACTTGTGGTATTTACTACAGTGGCCATATAAAGGAGCGAAAGTTAGTGTGGAATTCGTGGTTGGAGCGAGACCCTGGTGGGTGAACATCTGGTCACAATCCGTATCAAAGGCGCTCACGCCCCGACTGACGAGAAGGACGATGTGACCAAAGATGCCTTCTATGAGCGCTAGGAGCGTACCTATGAGAGCTGCCCCTGCCACGATATCAAAATCATGCTTGGTGATTGGAACGCCAGGGGGGGCAAAGAAGGTATCTTTGACAATACGGTCGGTAAATTCAGCCACCACGACGAAACTTCACCAAATTGATCGAGTCTGATCGACTTCGCTGAGGATCGAAATATGGTTTTCTGTAGTGATAGTTGTCTGTATTTCGTATCCCCGCATAATTAATACGGCTGTGTATGCTGGAGTTGCGCAACACCAAAAGCTCCATCAGGATCGAGAAGAATCTCTCAGAGCCGCTCGATACCAAACGTGGTTTCAGACAAGGCGACTCTCTTTCATGCGACTTTTTTAATAAACTTTTGAAGAAAATAATTCGAGCTGCAGAGCTTAATAGTTTATAAGTGCACAGCTGCTGGCGTATGTTATTGATATCATCGATAGCCTCAACACCCGCGCTATTGGTTCTGGTTTCTCCAGACTGGACAAGGAAGCAAAGAAAATGGGTCCGGCAGTGAACGACGAAATATCTCCTGTCATTAAATAAACAGTCGTCGCAATCGCGACTTAGCTCTCACGTCACTGTTAACAATCATAACTTTGAAGTTGTAGATAAACTCGTTTATTTAGGAACCAATATAAACACCACCAACAATGTCAGCCTTGAAATCCAACGCAGTATAACTCTTTACAGCAGGTGCTACTTCGGACTGAGAGGGCAATTGAGAAGTAAAGTTCTCTCTCGACGAACAAAAACCAAACTCTATTAGTCCCTCATTATTCCCATCCTACTACAATTGACTGGATTGGGTAGGTTTTGACGTTTTGCAATTGGAATGACTGGAACGACCAGATCGAAATTATACCAAAAACATATGTGAACGGAGGGGAGTGAAGGGGAGGTAATATTATAAAAAATTTAAAACAATGAAAATCAAAGAGAATATAGTTCATGAAACGTTTTGCAATGTGATGCGTAGTAGGATTCATTTTCGAATCCCGATGATTAAAAAAACCTACTAATTCAGAATTAACAGGCTTCGTTCACGTTATTAAGTATTGAAAGATTAAAAGTCAGCTGTTTTGTAATATACCATAAACTCATAAAGGAGGATTTAAGTAGTTTCGCCATATATTAGAAGTTCAATATATAATAATTTGCAATCTCAATAAATTTTGGGTGTTTTAATTTATTTTGTGCGATCTGGCCACGATGAAAAATGTTTTTACGACGTTCTCACACTTCAGTAAGTTGGGCATCCCATTACCCCTGGTGCAGAGACTTGGATGATGACAACAACTGATGAGTCGACGTTACGAGTTTTCGAGAGAAAGGTTCTGCGAAAGATTTATGGTCCTTTGCGCGTTGGCCACGGCGAATATCGCATTYGATGGAACGATGAGCTGTACGAGATATACGACGACATTGAAAWWGTTCAGCGAATTAGAAGACAGCGGCTACGCTGGCTAGGTTTTGTTGTCCGGATGGACGAAAACACTCCAGCTAAGAAAGTATTCGACACAGTACCCGTCGGGGGAAGCAGAGGAAGAGGAAGACCTCCACTCCGTTGGAAGGACCAGGTGGAGAAGGACCTGGCTTCACTTGGAATACTGGCGCGCTGTTGTTAACTCGACTATAATCGCGTAAGCGGTGTCTACGACAATAAAGAAGAAGAAGATTATTATCATAACGCTGGAAGACATATAATTTGTGACATGATACCCTGAAGCCAAATCTGAAAACAGAATTTTTCTATCACCCACAGATTTCTGTAACCTACGGCTTCAGATTTTACAATACATAAAATTTCATTATACTACATCATCTTATATTTTACATGTTCTATGTTTGGATAGCAAAACGTTTTTCAGTTCACATTCTTTTAGGCTTTTGTTACTGTGTTTAAGATTTTTAGGAACAATGCCTACGCAGTCCACTAAAAAGCTTACGAACTAAATTTTGATGTTAGAGTTGGGGGCAAAGACAAAGCATGGGATCCTCACGTCTGCTGTAAAACTTGTTTAAGATTGTTAACAGCTTGGTTAAAAGGTTCAAATCGTAAAATGCTCTTCGCAGTGCCAATGGTTTGGGCCATATGACAGACTGCTATTTTTGCCTTACTAATATTAAAGGTATTGCACCGAAGTCTAAATTTACGGTTTATTACTGTATTTACCATCAGCTTTAAAATCTGTCAAACACAGTGAACAACTTTCTCTTCCAAAAGCTCCAGAATCTTGGTGTCTCGATGGAGTACTAGAATTGACGAGCTCTTCAAGTGACAGAAGCCGCAAAGGAAATGACATTCGATCCTTTTTTTGATTTACGAGGATGTTCAACAATGCCGCATTTAATTTTACAGGATGAACTTAATGACTTAGTTCGAGATCTAAGCCTTTCAATTGCAGTGCGAACTATTAGTACACAGACTAAAAGGTTGGAACCTTCTCAAAAGGGATGTAAATATTACTGTCTACAGAAAAAGGCAGAAAGATTTCAGATTGCTTTCTGCAAGAAGGGGATCTAGTATACTCTTCAGAAGTTAACCTTTTGTTTAACGCACTAGGACAGAAACATGATCCACTTGATTGGTGTCTATTTATTAATTACTCTAAACTTAGAGTAAAGGCGGTATTGGTTCAGAACGGTAACAATTATCCTTATGTGCCCTTATGTTTTCTTTTTTAATTGAATAGGTCGTCCAATTAAGCGGTTTTTGATATTCACAAGTTTACTTAATTTGTAGATGTATGTATATATATTTTATATATATATTTATGATGTTGAGCGTACCTGTGAGGAACTTCCATTATTATAAATATCGATGCTATTATTATAGTCAGTCTGTGTAATGTAAAGAGAATAGATTTAGGTTAAGCATTATTAAATATAAGATACTACAATTAGTTATCTTTTAATTCCGTATTTTAGGAGCGTAAGAAAAATATATAGTTCCTTATTCTAAAGAAACCTTTAAAGTTGTATATGTTTTAATATGTTCACATTAATTAATTACCTTACCTGTAATGTTGCACAATATGAATTGAAGTCATTGCTGCAAGTAACATTCATATATGGTCCACAAAGAGCATGAATGTTGGAATTATTACAATTAACTTTTGATTCATGGTTTTTTACATAGCAAGGAAGAAAGGTTTTTTTCAGCACAGTCGTTGCCTTCCTTAATTCACTATAAGATGAACTAACAGGACTTGGAGGTGGCAGTATTTCCTCCGACTGGTGGTTTGAACACTCCAAAGTTCCCTCAATTACGTCGATGGAAAGTTCATGTGATTGCGGTACATCCACTACACTCTCTGTACAGATATATAAAAAATTGAAATATATGCATAGATTAGAAGCTTATGCATGTATACTTAGTACAAATTTTTAATTTCAACTAAGTCAAAAGATATACAGCTGCTGGCATATAAATGGTACATTTGTTAATGGATTCTTTCTTGTATAGTAAATGTATTTATACTCTTGAAACCAGTTGCTATAGAGTAGTATAGTTATGTTTACCTAACGGTTGTACGTATCACCTAAAAGTAATCGAGAGAGATATAGGGTTATGTATGTATAAATGATCATGATGACGAGAAAAGTTGAAATCCGGTCGATTGTCTGCCTGTTCGTCCGTCCACCCGTGAAAGCTGTAAGTTGAGTAAAAATATCTGAGTAAAGATTTCTTGTATCTGTACACCTTGTATACAGGTTCCTTAGTGCAAAAAAAAAAAGTTTGTAGATGGGCGTAATCGGACCAATAAAACGCCCACAAATCGCCATTAACCGAAAATCTATTAAATGTCATAACTAAGGACTTAATTAAGATATAAAACTGTAATTTGGCATAGAGGATCGCGGTATCAAGGGGCACCTGTTGGAAAAAATTTTGGAAAAAGTTGGCGTGGACCCGCCCTATAAAAAGTTTAATGCACATATCTTCTAAACCACTTAAGCTACAGCAACCAAATTTACCCAGCACGACTATTACAAGAACTTCGAAGATCGGAAGATCAATCCGCTCACTCACCGTATAACAGTACAGTATAACAAAACTGCTACACAGGATAAAAATGAACGAAATCAAACAATAACCTACTCATATAGCACATTTTTAAATTTCACTTGACTCTTTTACTTTTCAGTACACAAATCACGAAGCAATAAAAATAATGGAATTAAAATTTGCACGAATAATGCCTTTAGCATACACCTTATGATAAAAAAATTTTCAAATCCAACCAAAACTGTTCAAGACCCTCTATACCTATAGCTAACTTTTGATCGAAAATATCGGTTAATGTGTGCGATATAAAATATAAATGCAGACAGGATCCTTTTCCTGCATTAGTAATTCTGTGCATTCAAACTGGGTGGAATCGGGATAATACTTCCCTGAGCCTCAATATACCTAATATAGATAAGATTTTCGAACTTCCTGGTAACTTAATGCTGAATATACCGGCCAATAATCACAACGTATTTTACTCATAACAGTATATCACTGTGCCTGAAATGCAATTGGACGAAAACTTGACCTAGCCCCCATATAACCATTACCAGGATTTTCAAACATCCGGGTGATTTTGTATAATGACTATGTAAAATGATCTTCGTTTTTCTAGCAAAATCTTATGCCGATTATTTATGTAGGTCAGTGTATAAGTTATATATAGGGTATGTTATACTAAATTGCTCAGATTCCGATCCTCTGGTTGACGTTTTACATCCTAAGGTATTTCCCTGACTTTGATTCCTGCATGTTGTAAGAGTATATGATATTCGGTTACACCCGAACTTTGCTCTTTCGTACTTGTTACTATATAACAAATTTGGATTAGTTCCTCGTATTTTATAATAGTACAGAATAATGTTAGAATTCATTGCTAAAGCAAAAAAAAAATTTAAATACGAAAACTGTGGCGTAATAAGCTGGAAACATCCTTTATAAAAAGGGACAATTTAGTTCGAAACTTTATTAATAGTATTATGTTATGTAGCCTTAATTTGGGATGACTGCTTCATACTTGCCACCAATACTTTCCACGCGATTCTGACACCTAGCTTTAGATAAAGCGTACGAATTTTTTTATATACCATAACTAGCCTAGGAAGAAACAGTTTCAGTCGTGACTTCATTCCATAGGTTTTCAATTGGATTCTAGTCAAAGACAATCTACAACTGACCAGATAATCACCATGCGCCAATTTCAAAAGACCCGTGAAAAGAGGTCAAAAACACACCACTTCTTCGTCGTTTTCAAAGCTGCTCTAAAAGGAGCTGTCTTGTGCCGCGATTTCTGAATTTGGTATCCCTGCAAAACTTATACGTTGACCAGCACCAAAAGCTCCGTCAGAATCGGGAAGGACCTCTCCGAGCAGTTCGATACCAAACGAGGTTTCAGACAAAGCGATTCCTTATCGTGCGACTTCTTTAATAACATAATTTTCTTTTTAGTTGGATGTGCTACACCTAATCATTTATAGATGACAGTTTAAGAATTATGTTAGTCGCAGTTGCATTAAGTTGCGCTTTACGATTAATTAAACTATGAAAGGCTTTAAGATATCTGCAGGGAACTGTAATGCAATGCTATTTTAAGAAGATAAATCCTAAAGTTGTTTCAATAAGAACTCAGGCATATTTTAAAAATAAATCGATAATTAGGCAGTATTCAATCTTGCTCAGCATCTTCTGTGACCAAAACATAGAATACCCTAATGAAGCGATGGCTTTTTGGAATGAATAGACTTAAAGCATTCGGTGCATATTTTCAATAATATAGACTTCATTGTCTTTCTCTAACAGTCTCTTTAGCACACATTTTCCATAATTGCTATCATTTATGTACTTTAGTAATCTGTCAAGACAATAATATTTACCGCTATGTAAAAATGTTTCAAAACTGTTTTGAAAATTTATAAACAGCTATGCTTAATGGTGTTATATTTTGAGCGAACAACTCACAACTTCTATATCGTACATTTTATGTAATCCTTCACAGTTACATGGGGTTTTACCTTTCAACCTTAAACAGTTAAGTTCCTTAATTCGAATACCGCCCATAGATCTGCACTGACTAAGTGCCACATAAGCTTGTCAAGCAGCAAAGAGGGGAAAAAGGCGTTTACGTAAAAAGTGTTTAAAAGGATTAAAATAGCTGCTTTATTGTAAAACCAAGAGAACAACATACATAAATACAGGTAAGATAGTTAGTAAAATAAAGTAAGTCATTGGAAAAGTGTTTAGTTTGTTTATAATCATTTTGTAAAAGTTCTGTTGCCTTAAGGAAACATCCTATAACTAACGAACCAGGACACTAAAGACTTTGAAATTTTAATCACTTCATACTTGAATTAAGATTAACATATATCTGTGCTAAAAACGTTTTAGCTCCGCCTATTTTAATTCGGGCATGAAAGGGTTAAGAATCAATTCAATACGAAGTGAACGTTACCTCCAGCTACAACATAAAACAATACGGATACAATCATGATTGGTAACACACACACACATATATTTATATTTACACAATTATACATACATACATCTTTATCTAAATTTCTCTAAATAAATACATATGTATAGTATATACAAAATAATGCCACCTTTCGTTGTAATTTTATAAAATAAGAACGGGTTCACCTATCTAAACCAAATCTTTAGGCTTTGTTCGGACTATTTAGTGGTGATTTTTGTGAAGTTTGTACAAAGTTTGTCGATCGGTTCTTCGTTTATCATATTTTTTGTATCAAATGAATTAATGTCAATGCGGATTTTTGTGTCAAGTTGGACTTTTTTAAGATGGTGATTATGCTGCGATCACGAATAGGTCGTGCTATTTTGACTGAAACGATGTGTGCTGCTTTTAATGCAGTCAGATTGATTATAGTATTTAAATGTCTAGGATGTATTGTGCTAATGGCACAGTGAAATCGCACCCTCTTGCTGTTGTCAGTGAAAACGTTGTTGCTAAATTTTATTGAAGCTACGATCTCAACTATTAAATCAAAAGGAGTAATATTTTGATACCTTGTATCTCTATGATCAACGATTCAACTTGATTCAACTCAAACGGTTTTAATACAGTTTTAAAATAGCTAGCAATTAACAAAATATTTTTTGTTTGAATAAATGAATATGATGTTAAAATATTTGTTTATTTCTGTTTTTACGTAATGAAGTACATATTGTCCGTTAGTATATTACGAGTATATATTAGAATTTTAAAATCTTCACACTAAAATAATGTACTTTTCAGTAGAGTTTTTTTGAAATTTTTTTCTACAATAGAACTTTTTTCACATATGATGAGGTATATCGTGGAGTGTATAAAGTGGTTTTTTCGGAATTTTTGCCTGGGAGAATGAGATGCGTTTTTTCACTGGTAGACACGAATTCTCATGTTTGGATCATCTGAAACACAAAAACCCGATTTATTCGTAAAAGGTACGTGAATGGCTATCGTCCCTACTAGAGTCATGACAAAATGTTGATAGTTCCAACTAAATCATGTCCGCCAATTTAAAAAAAGTGTATTTTGAAAAAAAACGTGTTTAAAGTTTGAGGTGAGGCACTCTGAGCGCTCCGATCATAGAGCGGTATTACTATTTTTGGACGTTTTTCCAAAAACGTTAAAGTGGGTTTCTACATTAATTTTAAGGGTATAAGGGAACAGAAAATGCAAAAAAACAAAAAACGTTTTTCAAAACAGATCACATTACTGACCCCTTAAACGGAATCGGCCCCCTTATGTCGACATACGCCTGCATTTTCGGTTCTTTAAGCCAGATGATTAAGAAAGAGGCGTCGTGGGAAACAAAAAATACCATATTACCAAAAAATAAGCGGTAGAAAGCTGTAAGTGCTATAAAGAGCAAATCATATTTCTTTAAAAAAACCAAATGTCAAATTGTGTCCTTAAGGACGCTGGTTAAATGAGTTAGCTTCCCGAATTCATACACCACTACACCATGCAACACACCACTCACAAAGTAACACTGGCACACTCACCACATTTGAAGACAATGCACATCAAATGGAAGCAGCAGTCTACACCCTCGCACGCACCCTCGTCCTATAAGCGAACGATTCCTTTTCGATCACGACTTGCTAATAATCAACATCAGCGGACGTTTTTAATTTCTTTTCGTCGTGCACCTCAAGTCATCTTGCCACATCAATCGATTATACTTTTATACATCAGTACAACTTCCATTGGTATCAGACCAAGGAGTCCATAATTTGCACATTCGATTTATTTTCCATTTTTATACATACACTGTCACGTCTCAACTGATATCCGACCAG